TGGGCTGATTGCCTTGAAAGACCCTATTTGTAAATAAGGCCCCCTTCGGCCGTACTGAGGGTTAGGACATCAATATGGCACTTTTGCGGGGTCATAACTCAACCCCTGCAGGTGCCTCCTCAATAGCCCAGGATACAGGGAGCATTGGATGGGAGGTTCTGCCAGTGTAGACCTTCCTGTGGAAATGTACACACTGCTGCAGGGCCCAGGACTAACATCAGAACAGAGCTTTACTGTACCCCATCCTCTACCCCATCCTCTCAAAGCCTCTATGGGATCAGTGTTACAATCTCCATCCACTAGGGGCAGGTAGACTAGGTTCTACTAGGCAGCGCTGTCCTGCAGAGAAATAATGTTTGAGCCAAAAATGCAAATTCAATTTTCTAGAAGCCACATTTTTAAAAAGAAACAGATGAAATTAATTTTAACCATTTTATTTGACCCAAAATATTATCATTTTGAAATGATAACAACAGGCAGTCAACATAAAAATTATTAGTGAGATATTTAACCCTCTTTTTGTATATGAAGTCATTGAAAACCAGTCTGTATTTTGCTTTCCTAGCACATCTCAACTCCAACTTGCCCCATTTCTGAGATAGCAGACAGCCATATCTGCTATAGTCTGGGACATTACAACCCAAGAGTCCAGCATCTTTTGGCTTGTGTGAGGCAGAGCTGGAAGTCCAATCTGACTCTAAAGTTCATCCTTCTCCCTCCATACCAGTTGCTTCTCATCCCTGCGGCCTGCTAGGGAAGCTGATCTCCATGAGTCATTCCCTGCTTAAGTTCATGTGCTGGCCTATGTATCGGGTCCAACAGGCCCCATTGAGAGACTATCTTAGCTTAGGTGATTCTAATAGCAGGGATCTTGGGTCCTGTGGCAGGAACAGTAGAGAAGGATTTGGAGACAGATGAGTACTCCTCCCTGAAACCTAGAGTCCCACCATAGAACCAGCCATCTCCTTGCCCACAGCTCTGATTGAAGGAGTGTCAGATCAAATGATATTTGGGAATGGGGCAAGGACAATGGCTTTAGCCCATCCCTGGACTCCACCGCCTCTAACAGGCTGCTTCTGAATGAGCATGCAAACCAAGGAAAAACAGCATTTGTCCCATGAAAATTCAGGTTCAAACAAGTCCCCTCACCTCCCTGCTCACTTCCTCCCCCCCCAGAATATAACCCCGAGGTCCTCCACGAATAAAAATCTGGAGCAACAGCTAGACTCTCCAAGGTGGGATATCATGGGAGCTCACTACTTGTACAAGAATCAAGAACTTCAGTGACTCTTCTTCCTCCCCTGTGATGCACAAGACCTGACGAGGAGCCAGGAGCCCCTCCCTTAACTTCTCCCTCCAATCAAACAGACCTTCGTTGTTTCCTCCAACTATGGACTAGCTGCTGAAATCCTCTTTAAACATCATTCAAACAAGAGGTCAAAACATTGGATATATCCCCAGACCCCATGAGACCAATGGTGCTGCCCAGTCTCATGTATATGGATCTTTCCCCCCAGCCCACAGCAGGTCAGGTGCTATGCGACAGGACCAGAGAAGAGGATACAGAACCTGTCTTGGTATTCACCTAGGGTATCAAGATGTCCTCAAAAGAGGCAGTGGAGATGGGCATGGTGGCACATACTTTTAATCCCAGCAGGAAGATCGTGAGTTCAAAGCCAGTCCCAGCAATTTAGCAAGGCCCTAAGCAACTTCGTAAGACCCTGTCTCTAAATAAAAATAGAGAAGGGGCTGGGGAAGTGGCTCAGTGGTCAAGTGCCCTTGGGTTCAATCCCCGGTACCAAAAAAAAAAAAAAAAGTAGTGGACTGGGATGAACCCTTGCCTTTCTTTAATTAAGTCAAATCAGTGCAAGGCAATTCAACAGATTTATTTGGAAAATACTAAGTACAGCTGAAACCCACTGTGTGGAGGGTTCAACCATAAGGCACAACCTCTGTCACCAAAGAATCAACAATCCAGGCAACAACCTAATCTAGACCTCCACCATTTACACTTCCATGATTTTTGTCGGTCCGAGTACTATTAACTTAGCATTTTTCTTTTAATCAACTCATTTTAGCTTGCTTTTTTTTTTACACGTTAGGTTCACATTAAAATAAACGTGAAACTATTAAAATAAAAATGGTCCCAAATCACTTTTTATACCTTCAGTGATATGCTTGGAAAATAGTTCTGGTGTGCCAGACAGATCCAGTTCCCCCAAGCAACCAATTGTGGCCCAAGCAAGATGGCCATAATTGGCACTGTGATAGTACACGCTGCGTTTAATGACCACTCCCTGTGGCCCAGCCACAAGGCTCAGAATGTCTCATTCATGCAATCTTATAATCATTGCAAGGAACTACTGCTATGTAAGCCTTGGGCTATGGAGCTGGAACTTAGTTCTTTAAGGTTTAAAGCACTTGATCCACCAGCAAATGTGATTGAGATAAGGTAAGTGAGTTCTGTGTCCATGAGAGCAGAGATGGGTTTGAAAGAGTAGTCCGAGACCAGATTACAGGAAGTCCTGATGCTCCATTAAGGGATTCTGATTTGATTCAAGAAGTCATGAGGAATCACCAAAAGCATTTAAATTACCAAGTGAAATGAGCACATATGTATATGGTCCAGGATGGAGTGTGGAGCCTGGCATCAGAAAGACTGAAACAATCAGGATCTACTGGCAGTGGCAGTGGGAATGAAGGAAAGGGACAGATGCAAGTATTCTATCATAGGTGAGATGGATGGGACTTGGTGACTTTGGAAAGCAAGGGAGACAAAAATGGGCACCCCGGTGTAACTTTGGATTTTCTACTTCAAGTGCACTGAAATGAAATAGGAGAGTGGAGAGTGGGTTAAACTGAGAATCGACAAAATGTGTTCAGCTTTCGATCCCCTGGAAGTTGAAGCCCCTTAGAGATCTGTGGGAAGATGGCCATGGGATACTGGAAATAAGATCTGAACTCAGAGGGTCATCAACAAAAGGAAGGAGTCATCTGTGGGAGGAGTAACAATAGCTAGAAAGGAGAACTGGAAACTGACCTTAGGTGACCAGTGAAAGAAGGGCCAAAGGAGGATGGGAGAGCGAGGTGGAGAGAGGGAAGGAAGAAACAAATGAGAGGAGAGGAGGACAGTCATCAAGGAAGGTGCTTCAGGCAAAGAAAGGCAGCACAGGACCTGAGAAGAGGCCCTGAGCCACGCCTCAGTTTCCTCATCTGTCACGAACAGTTTAGATTAGATGGTCCTCAGATTTCCTTCCAGTGCTCATGATGGCTGAGGGCTATGTGGGATCCCAGGGTACTCCATCACCCAGGTGGGCTGCTCATGCTGGGTGGCCTGCACCAGTCCCACGTGGAGTGAGGCAGCGCCAAGGCACTTGGACATTTACGTACCCTGAGGTTGGGGTCCCCAGGGTGCACGCCCAGCTCCACCACAGACCCCTCCTTGGATTCTCAGTTCATTCTCACACAGCCTTTTCTAGTATTCCCCACTGTAAAGGTGGAGAAATGAGGCTTATAACTGGTCCAGTGCCAGGCAGTCAGTAAAGGGTGGAGCCACAATCTGAATTCATCTGAGGAAATCTAATCTAGAGCTTGATGGCTACCTGGTCTTTCTCACTCCCACACTGTCCATGCCTGGGGCATCTTCCTAATGGCGTTTCCTTGTTCAAGGACATCTTCCTGTCCCTTCTTAATCATGACAGCTTTGAGTACTGATCAAATTGCTGAAATGAGCCTTCATTACTTTGAGCATTGGGAAAAAACAGCTTTATAAGAACAAAGTTCAAAGGTGTTATGGGCGCTTACAGGCTTATAGGGACAACTATCCTTATAGTCCCAGTTTGGACTTCTGAGATGAACAGTTTTGTGAATGGGATTGATACTGTGGCAATTTGGGCCTAGATCTTAGGCCTATGTCAGTAGTAAGTACCTAGTGGACTAGAAATGGATCACAACTTCTTTCTTGGGTCTTAAAAATAGTTCTATTGAAATGTAATTCACATACCATATAATCCACCCATTTAAAGTATGCAATTCAATGGTTTTAAATATATTTATAGATATGCCAAACATTACAACCATTGATTTTAGAACATTTTCATCACCTCACTCAAATCCTGAACCTTTATCCCTCTTCCCATCCCACACACCCCCAGCCACTAATCTACTTTCTTGTGTCTGTGGGTTTCCCTATTCTAGAATTTCATATGAAGGTAATCATATAATACATGATCTTCTGCAACTGACTTCTTTTACTTAGCATAATGTTTTTAAATTTCTTCCATATTTATCAGCAAATAAACATTTTTGGCCAAATATTCTTCTATATGGATATACTATATTTTGTTTATCCATTTGTCCATTGATGGAGTGAGTTTTGGGTGTTTCTACCTTTTGGCCATAAGGAACAATGCAGCTATGAAAATTCCTGGAGGGGTGGAGAATAGAAGTTCACTGAATTAGACAAAGGGGAATAAAGAGAAGGGAGAGGATGGGAACAGGAAAGGCAGTAGAATGAATCAGACATGACTTTCCTATGTTCACATACAAATAGTCGACCAGTGTAACTCTATATCATGTACAACCACAGAATGGGAAAGAAGTTATACTCCACGTATTCATAATGTCAAAATATATTCTACTGTCAGGGGTAACTAAAAAGAACATTTTTTTAAAAAAAAAAGAAATAATCATGCACAAGTTGTGTGTGGACATGCTTTTGCTTCTCTAGGACTGAAATGAGGGACTGGGCTGTACATGTTCCTCTTTCCACTAGAATGTTTTCGCAGTGCTTCCTGCAGAGAGGGCTCCAATGTCTTGTCTGAGTGAGTGCCGAGAACACACTTTCAGCACAGAACATTGGGGCTAATGGGGGCCACTCAGTTCCACCATAGCCTCTGATCACCCTGAAATCGTGGGTTGTGGCTTCCCAACCTGAGTGACTTGATCCTCCATCTGGTGTCTTGCTCACTCCGGCTTCACTTCTCTCTTCTGTGCCTTAGGAACAAATGAAGCCCCCATCATTGAAATCTTAGCAAACAGGACCTCGAACCAGAGGCAGCAAATAAAGCAGAAGTACAAGGCAAAGTATGGCAAGGTAATTGCGGGGTGCACCAGGGTGGCCTTGACTATCTCTTCTGCCTCCACACTCCCCTGGTCGTGGAGAATGTCTTCAAAGCTTTATTGAGTTATCCCAGGAGAAAAACTGAAATAACCACTTAAAACTTGTAATTGACTTCAGAAAACCTGAAATTGCTGTGCTAACTTAATAGCCTATACAATCAATACTCTAACTCATTATTATTTTTTAAATTGACTTCATTTTTCTATTAAGCCCTTCGTCATTTTTTTCCACTCAATTTGGTCTAATTCCACATAATAACTTATAGATGAGCTAAGGATTTGAAAATCAGTTTCCCCAGGTGGGTTTTTATGCAGAAGTTTTTCATATATTCAACTCTCTTCAAGAATGATACAGTCTTCATAAATTATTGTTACAGAAAACTAAAACAAACCTCAAACCCTTCCTTTTGATCAAGGCTTTTTTTTTTCTTTTTATTTATTTCCTTTTTTTATTCTTTTTGTTGTTGACGATGCACTTATGGACGGGAATCTTAAAATATGCATTAGGCTTTCTTGTTTCTTTATTAATATATAATGATCACAATTTAACCTTTTTGTAATGTCGCTATAATTATCATTATGCAAAGTGGATATCCATCATTACACTGTAGTCTCATCCATATTTATAAAACCTCTACCATTTCAAAAACTAGACATGTAAACAGATAGAGAGAAAGATGGGTTTTCCTCTTTATTTGACATTGGGCAGGTAACAATCTCTTTAGGCCTTGTTCTCCTCACAGGTAAATAAGATGGTCACTTATCTCCCTTCTCAGATTGCTGGTTTATCAAAGAAGATAACACTAGCACTATCAACAAAGGGAAGCTAAGATAGGTAGGATTGCTCCCAGTTCACAGATAGGAAAGGTAAAGCTCACATGTTTCAAGGACTTACATAAACTCGTGACATGGGGAGGTAGCAGGACTCAGATCTAAGTCTCTGATTTCAGGGCCAGCGTCCATACCTGGAGGATCCAGGGCCAAGAGCAGAGCCATTTCCTCCTATTCCAAACAGCCCAGGTGGCTGTGCTTGCATAGTTTTCCTGCTTCTTTTCATCAGCAGCTTGTCGATGCCAATCGTTTTGTGAAAATAAGTGAGTCTCCAGTTCAACTGCATTTAATTGAATTGAATGAAGTGGAATTTTAATCCTGGTCCACCTGTCAAACTCTAGCAGCCCCCACATTCTATGTCTGCTTGCACCCCACCAATATGGGAAGTCAGACACAAGGCTCCTTAACCTTCTTCTGACATAGGAGCAAACAAGGTCCTGGGGTCTCTGCTAAAACTAAAGAGGGCATGTTCCAGCATGAAACGTGACCCCTGTTTGCCAATCCCTTGCTTCCTTTCTGCTTCTCAGCTGTATTTCAGAGATGAGACCAAGGAAGAGATTCTCAGAGCTGGAGGGTATTTGAGATGATGAAATCAGAGTCCCCATCTCAGCTAAGTTCCAAAGAGAATAACCATCCCAGGGTCACACAGCTAGTTAGCAGGACAGGAGCTGAGGAATCCCAAGTCTGCTTCTCTGCCCAACAGAATATAAACCCTCAAGGATTTATTTCCAGGCTTGTGCCTTCCGAGAGTGGTCAGCCGGGATTTCTCTTTGCTGCAGTTCTAAACAATGCCATTCTGACCTGGAAAAGGATTTCCAGTTTCCAGGTGGATGCACACCACAGAGTCCTGAGCAGAAGCCTGCCTTCACAGGATGCAGTGTTAAAGGGAGAGGTAGCAGTGGGGACAGGAGTGTCATATTACAGTCCTCTTAAGATGGTAGATCCCAAGGCCTTGCACAAAAATATGGATTTTTTCTCCCTGGCCCAGAACTCAGAGGTTCATTTGATAAATAGTTGATTTGCCTCCTTTCAGGAAATCCCTTTCAACGTAGGCTAACAATGATATTCTTATATAATACACATAATGAATAATAAGAAGTATTTTTTGAGCATTATCAAATATGCCAGGCACTGTGCTCATTATTTACATGGATCCTCTCATTTAATTTTCCCATCGACTCTATAAATCTGATTATTCTTCCCATCTTCTAGAGAAGAAAATCGCCTGTGGTTGAAATTAAGTTTTCCAAGGTCACAATGCTACTGTGACTGTGTCCTTGGCCATCAGACTTGTTGCTGAGTGGCCAGCCAGGACCTTGCTGTTACCTGGGTCCCTGAGATGCCCACTGATCTATGGGCCTCCAATCTGACCCATCCTGGGCTACGGCTCCACGGCAGGTCCTTCATATAAGTTGGGGCATTGACAACTGGATAGACTAACTACCCTCTCTGGACCTTGTCCTTATGAAACCCCGTTATCAGAGATGAACAGGTAGGAAAAGGTAGTTTCCTCACTGTGATAAGAGGGTGCTCTAAGAAAAATTGAATAGTATGCCCACCGAAAACAGGATGCCAGGGAGAATTTCCTTGACATCTGCCTGTCTGAGTTCTTTCTCACACACCTCCCTCTCAGGATTTAACAAGATAACTCAAGTGACTGTACATCTGGTCCTAATAAGAGAGTCCCTGTTTGTTCCTGCTGTCCATCACAATTATTAATAATAGTCCCCTTTCCTCTCAAAACTAACCCAATTTGGATGGTAAATTATCAGATTCCTCTAGAGAAAACAGACCTGCCTTCAATCCTTTTTTAGCTGAATGTTTGGCAGCAAACCCTTCATCTTCTGAAGTCCAGTGAATGAGGACAGTGCCAATACTTAGGCTAGTTTTACAGGGTTGTCTTGAGGACCTATTGAGAAAGGTCTCTGAACCCTAGAATATTCTGCAAACGTTGCTGTTTCAATGATTCGTCTTTGGGGTCTCCAGCCCTGAGTGGGAACTCTCCTCTTTGCCTCTCTGCTAGCCTTGCTGGGAGACTGGATGGATGGCCATGGTGACCACTGTTCTCAAGAGTGGGTCCTTTTTGCCAGGTCACTCTGTATGTGGCCAAGGCAGGTTTCCTGCCAGGCCTGGGCACATGCAATAGTGCAGTGAGACACCTGTCCCGTTCCCCCCAGCCACTCCCCAACAGGCCTCTGTGTTTCCTTTAGGACCTGGAAGACGTACTCAAGGGTGAGCTGAGTGGAAACTTTGAGAAGACAGCCTTGGCTCTTCTGGAAAGGCCCAGTGAATATGCCGCCCGACAACTGCAGAAGGCTATGAAGGGTCTGGGCACAGACGAGGCTGTGCTCATCGAGATCCTGTGCACAAGCACCAATAAGGTCAGTCCCACATTACTCTTGAACAAAAATCTGCACACCTGCCAGAAATGGCTGCAACCCCGTGGAGGGAAGCCACTTCCTGGCCTTCTTTCCATGGGCGAGCAAGAGTCTGTGCAGAGAGGTGTCCACTTGGCCCACGTAGGAAGGATGTCTCATGCTGTCTTCCATAGTTCAGTCTTGGTGTTGCTATCCCTGCTTGACAGAATAGATCCTTCCAGATCTGCGTCAGTCTAGGTTTTGTTTCTCTAACTGTGCACGGGAGGCACAGTTCTACTTTACCTTTCCCAGCCTGACGATGTGGGCCCTCAGGCATGAACAATGCAATAGGTAACCCACGCACGTTTGTGTTACCACCTTGTCTGTGACTGTTATCCATGTAAAGCATGAATAAGACTATATAACCAGACAGAAAGGTTGGTGGAGTCAGGGATCCCAGTGAGCACCCCCAGCAGCTGCTAGCACCTCCCTGGAGGATTCTATGTCCTTCAATCAAAAGATAGAAGATCCCTTGGGCTCATGCCATCATTTAAGGTGAAAAAAAAAAAGAAAAAAAAAGCCCTTGCAGAAGCCCATTTGTCTTTGGTTCCAGAATCCAGGAGGGCCAAGGAATTCATCAAGAGTAAAGAGAGTCCACAAGTCATCAATAGGTGACCCCGTCTTCTTCCATAACCACCCATCATCGAGGAATGGGGGGGGACCCAGCAAGAACAATACCAGAAAAGCCCCACATTCTGAGACTTCCCAGTAAGAGACAGCATCAGTGGTTGGAGCAGACAGCAAAAAGAGGAGTAGCACTCTGATGCTGGACATTCTCTGAAGCCTGCAGTGCTAGCCACCTGTCACTCCGTCCAGCCCAGGGTGCAGGCTCAGCCTCTCCCCCCAGAATACGGCCATGACCCATGCTATGGCTGTGAACCCCTCTTCTCCACACCCCTGCACTCCTTTCCTCCATTTCAGGTTCAGAAAATGCCTCAGAGGTGAGTTAGCACCCAGCCCTGGTGATGCCCACGGATCCATAGTCACACCACTTTCCCCATTCATGCTGCCCTTCCCAGAAGCCCTAAGGTCCCAGCCGTGAGGTGCCCAACGTCAGGGGCAATCAGCTCCTGCCTTTGTGAAAAAGGTTAATTTTCTTATTCTTTTTCTTACCTTGGCCTGGTTTCTTTAAGGTCCAAGCAATAAGCAAAGCCTTTCTCTTAATCAAATAGGTCTGATGTTAAAGAGAAGAAAAGGAGACGGAGAGCAGGCGCCAGGTTGAGGCAGATCCTAGTGGTGGGCTGGAAGGGGGGCAGGGGAGCTGTACCTCACTCGTAGTCAGCAGCCCCCATCTCCTGGTCGTCGGCCCTCCCTCCCACCATCAGAGCCCCGCAGCCAGCTCCTCACCTGCTGCCCCCACCTGCTGCCGCTCATCACTGCCCTCTGGCTGGGGGGATGACTCGGGCAGCCTGTATGGTCCACTGCTGGGGCCAGTGTGAACGGAAGCAGCTCCTGAGGCGGCCACGGCAGAGACATTCAATATAAAACCATCCCTCTGCACCCCGGACTGCACTCCTGCTGGCACCAGGTGTACCCTTAATTGAAGCAGCAAAAAACTAGAAATAACCTAAGCAGCCATCAGTGAGTGACTGGCTAACCTGTGGCCTGCAGTAGGATGGAACACTTTGTGCCCTTTAAAAAACGAGATGACTGTCTATTTATGAGCAGAGCTTGATCCTCCTAGTCACTAAGTAGTCAAGAAGTGGGTCACAGAATGATAAGGACCGCATTCCACCTCTAAACACTCACACTCAAAAATTCCTATATGTTTTCAGCAGCACCCTAACTTCATGCAAATGCAAAGGAAAATGTTTGGGAAGATTCACAGTGAATTTTATATATATATATATATATATATATATATATATATATATATATATATATATATATATATATATATACACACACACACACACACACACACACACACAGGATTGAACCCAGGGGCACTCAACCACTGAGCCACATTTTATTTAGAGACAGGGTCTCACTGAGTTGCTTAGCACTTTGCCATTGCTGAGGCTGGCTTTGAACTCACAATCCTCCTGTTTCAGTCTCCTGAGCTGCTGGGATTAAGGGATGTGCCACCGTGCCTGGCCCATACTGAACTTCTAATGCTGGCTATGTGGATGGGTGTGAGACTGTGAGATTGGCCAGGAGGTGGAGAAAGGCTGAGCTGTGATATTTTTAACCTTTCATTTTTATTTGATATGAAATCATTGTACACACTTATGGAATACAGTATAGTGTTTTCACACATGTATATATAATGTGTAATGATCACAATCGAATAACTAACATATTCATCACCTCAAACATTATTTCTTTGTAGTGCAAACATTCAAAATCCTCTCTTCTGGCTCTTTTGAAGTATACAATATATTATTGTTAGCGGCAGTCATCCTGCTATTCAATAGCACAGGAGAATTTCTTAGTCCCATCTCATTATAACTTAGTAACTGTCCATCAATTTCTCCCTCTCCTTCTTCTCCCCTCATCCTCAGCCTCTGGTAGCCGCCATTCCACTCTCAACTTTCACGAGATAACTTTTTTAAATTCTGCAAAAAAGTGACATCATGAAGTATTTGTCTCTCTGTGCTTGAGTAGTTTCCTTAACATAATGTCCTCCAGGCTCGAGCATGTTGTCACAAATGATAGAAATTCATTCTTTTTTTTCCTTCTTTCAGTAGCATTTTATATAAATCAAATTATTATAACTGACACAGAAAGACATAAAATGCACAAATATGAAAAAACCACATCTGCTAAATTTTTGTTTGTGCAAGTTTGAGCTTAAAAATTTGTTTTAGTTAATTTTGGTTTTTTTCTTCAATAATAAGAAATTCATTCTTTTTATGGCTACATAGTACTCGATTGTGTAAACACAACTTATTTTTTATTCATTTGCTTATTGATGGACACCTAGGTTGGTTCTGTATCTAAGGAGAATATATGCATGTGTTACTGGTGTGTTTGAAATGTCTGCACAGAGAGGGTCCCTTCACACCCCAGGCAAGTCCCACAGGGATGACTATCTTAAGACGTCAGGAAGACACCTGTGTCTGGAAACAGTCACCTGCCTGGTCTGTGGGCACCTGCCTTTTGCTGATTGACTCCACTTGGACACTAATTTGTTTTAATTTTCTTCCAGGAAATCGGTGCCATCAAAGAGGCTTACCAAAGGTGTAAGTGACTTTTCATTCTGGCTTTGGATAAGGTCTGTCCCTTTGAAAACACTTCTAGGAACTGAAGTCTGCTTTCTCCTCTCCTTTTTGCTTCTTCAAAAGTATTTGACAGAAGCCTTGAATCAGATGTCAAAGGTGACGTAAGTGGCAACCTAAAGAAGATTCTGGTGTCCCTGTTGCAGGTAAACTGTTCTCACCTACTTTACCATCTGAGCAAATAATTCTTGGCCACATGGTACCATGACAAGAAAGGTAAACTGGATAAACATTTCCTTCTTTTATTAAAAGTTGTTCACCCTTGCTCCATCAGCCCAGGGACCAGGAAGTTATCCACCTGGGATTTCTCCTCTTATAACAACCTGCCCAGTCACGTGCGGTTTGCAAAGCCTTTGGGTGACTGGATTAGCTGATTAAATGTAACCACTTCCCTTGACCAGTGAGGAAAGTCAGGTCTCCCAAGATGGGGGACCTGCCTGATTCACAACCAGTAAGACCCAGCCCAGGAGCAAGACCATCTGACCCAAGCCAGGCTCTTTCCACACCACAAATCTGCACCTACTTCTAGGATGTGCCCAGAGTCTAGGCCTGTAGGAACTGCTATAAGGAACTCCACCAGGGCAGCAGGGCTTTCAGAAGTGGCCCTGCTGGGACATAGCCCTCCCACTCCAGGGTCTCCAGGTGGGTAGCACCTGCATCTCATCCACAGCCATCTACTTGAACTTCATACATTTCCTCCATGTCATTTATCCCACTGTGGATAGACTGACAGAACAGAACCAAAAAATTAGTCATCAATGGCCGCAGGAGGGTTGTGTAAGTTTTCTCCTGCAGCATCGCCACAAACTAAGCAGCTCAAAACAACGGAGATCTACTTTCTCACCCTGGTCACAGGCCAGGAGTCCAGGGGTGGGTTAGCCATATCCTTTGCTCGGAGTCTCACCAGGCTGAAACCCAGGCTGCCGTTTCACCTGAAGCTCAGGGAGAATTCCTGGTGTTCTGTTCCCTTCTCTGCTGTCAACCAGAGGCCATCTGCGGCTCCCTGCCACATGGCCCCTGGGAACAGTTTGCAATAGAGCTGTGGGGTTTCTTCCCGGCCAGCAGAAGCTCATCTCTCTGACTACTCCCATCTCTCACTTTTAAGAGGGTCCTGATTGGGTTAAGCCCACCCAGAATGACCTCCTTGTTGATCCATTCAACTAATGATGGACCCGAATGACATTTACAAAAATCCCCCAGACCATCTACCATCACATACCCACAGAGCGACATCTCTGTTTCCACTGTTGCACACTCAGAGAAAGGGATTCCGTCAGGCTGTGCGTCACTGAGGTCACTGCTGTCAGCCTGCTCTGAGGTCGGTGGGGTTCCTGACTGATTTTACAAGCAAGCATTTGCTCAGAAGTGACACTGTTTATCAGTCATGCCCAAAAGATGGCAGCAAAGAGCAGGCCTTGACGCTTTGCCAGGCTGAAGGGTGCTTCAGGCCACTCTGAAATCACCCGCACCGTCCCAAGACGGTGGTCCAGCAGGAACTCGAGTTAACAACAATGTATGGATTTTTCTAGGCGAATCGTGATGAGGGAGATGAAGTGGACAAGGATCTGGCTGGTCGGGATGCCAAAGATCTGTATGATGTAAGTGTGCTCATGTGCCAGTCTCCGCAACTTCTTTTGTTTTTAAATTATGAGCATTGTTTTCCACAAACGTTTTCTTATTTCATGCACATGGGAGTTACTTGGGAAATGAGTGTGACCTTTAAGAAATAAATATACGCTTACATCTATTCAGATCATATATAGGGAGTTGTTCCTGTTCTTATACTCTGGGGCTAACCTGGATCCATTTGGGAACGGGGAAAGGTATAAATAATATAAATATATGATGCATGTTTGTGGGTTAGATGCTCAAAGTGCTTAGTCAATCCATCTGACTTCTATTCGACTTGTATTTTATAATTGCCTGTAAATAAGGTCTCATCACAGCACTGAGTATGCGATCTTTTCACAAAGTCCTTTTTAAATTGTTTGCTTCGAGGCAGGGGAAGGCCGCTGGGGTACTGATGAGCTTGCCTTCAATGAAGTCCTGGCCAATAGGAACTACAAGCAGTTACAAGCCACCTTTCAAGCCTATCAGATTGTAAGTAATGAAGTACTGAGGGGAGAAGGCTCCCTCAGAAACTCTCCTAAATTATTTCCAAAGGAAGCCAAGACCTGGGATACAGAGCTAGAAAATCACAAACAATAGTAGTTTTCAGTGGTGAGGGGTGGGGTAAGGTCTAGGATGCTTCCCCTCATCCTGCACAGGACAGCCCCAAGATGGGGTGCTAAGTCTGGGATACCCTGGGATACCAGGGACATGCAGAGTGTTATGTTTAGGATCAAAACTTAAAAGAGTCCAGGGTTCAGGTGCAAATGCTGGTTCTACCACTGGCAAGTGACAAACCTCTTCCACCCTCTTCTGTAAAACAGGGACCATGAGCATCACCACCCAACCCTCATAGAGCTATTTGTAATAGTTAAAGAAGACAAAGGCTCAGAACAATATCTGACAGGTTGTAAGCTCTATTATTGGTGGTATTATTCCAATTTACAGTTGTGTTCACAGTGTACCTACAACTCTCCAGACAGACGTGAGATCCCTCATGAAAAGACATGGATAAATTGTGTTTCTAATCTCACGATCAATTTAAGCCAACGAAGTGAGTTAGCTCTTCTGGAGTACTTAGTTCTAAGTCCTTCCCTTAAAAGCGATCTTGAATTTGCAAAAAAAAACCTTTTTTTCCTCCTATTTTATTTTTGTAGAGTGCTTTTACCTGTTCAAAGCACTTCTATGCCTTGTGTCTCATTTCAATTTCACGACAATATCATAACCATAATGTAGGCTGAACAGCTGTTGTGGCCTGTAACTGTTGGACAGGGCAAGTCCACCCAGTGAGGAGCCATCTGTAACTTATCAGGACCACACAACAAGTCAGTAGCAGAAAGTGGATGAGAGCTCCAAGCCTCCCCGGCCCGAGCGCCTACCTCGGCTGGAGCTGGCTGCTCCTCACTCGAAATAGCCTTTCCTGGGAGCTGCCAGTAGATGAAAAGACAACGAGGCTTCGGAATTTTATCATTACTGCATGGAAGCCTTGAGGGGCCCCTGCTTTCAAATTGGGCCCAGAGTCATAATCAAAGGCAGCCAATCAAGCAGCCCCTGCTCTCAGGGCCCGCAGGCCTCTGGCCTCTGAGCTGGAGGACTTCTCGGTGACCATGGTCCTCTTCCACGTGGTAGAGGCCACTGATGGAGTTTCCAAGAATGGCTGTCATTGGTGATCACTGGAGAAATTCCCACACGGGAGTGAGTGTGTGTGTTGTATGTGTGTGCGTGCACTCACACGTGCAACTGTATGAACTAGTGACAACCTGAAAGGACTCACTCTAGGTCAATATCTCAAAGTTGATTCTAAAAGAGCAGCATCAGTATCACCTGAGAATTCACTCTCCACCCCTGGACTCACTGAACCAGATTCTCTGGGGTTCGGGTCTAACCAACTGCAGGACTTAACAAGACCCGAAGGTGATTCTGATGCATGATGAAGCTTGAGGAGTTGGCCCCAGGCCACTAGCAACAGAGTCTGGGGCAAATTCTTAAAGGTCTGTGCCTAACTCTTCTCAACTATGAAGTGGGGTCAATGGTACCCACTGCATAGGATTAGTAAGAATTAAATGAATTCGCGGAAGTAAACATTAGACAGTACCTTGCTTGCTGTATACGCGTTCTCGATGAACATTAGCAATTGTTAGCACTCTCCCCATTTGAACCAACAGGACCAAAATTCAGAGCAAATCTCCAAAGGAAATAAAGCACCCTACAGAGGTGCTGATTCTTAACACAAAACCAGCTCTAAAATGCTACCTGTATATTCTAAAAGCCTTGTTCAAATCACATTCATCTTGATCTTCATTGCTTATTTTTTAAAATTTACCCTGTTCTTAGAACCTAGGTTCAATACATTTTTGATGGTACCTGGCCAAGAGCACCAAGATACTTGTATGAGATCACTGGAATGTATGATGTATTAGATTGTCATGGCGTACAGTTGAATTTTAATTTTTGGCACAAAAACTCAGCGTTTTGTCCTTTACTTGCCCTCTAAGCCTGAGTCTTAACTTCTGACATACTCAGCAATCCAACCCAAGAAACAGAACCTCTCCAAACTGGTACATCCTGCAAGATTATTCCAGTCCCAAGTTTTACCAAACATGAAACACACAATCACAAAGTCAAAGTTAGTTCCCCAACAGGACTCAGAATAAATAGGTTACACACAGACCCAGCCCAGCCCCACACCTCTTCATCCTGAGCCTTACCTCTTGGCCCTTCTCTTTACATTCCTAAGCCATCAAGAGCCAGAATGGCCTTCTGTCATCAAAGCCATAATGCAGGGGGCTCTGTGGTCAGTATACTGTTAATTTGGAGGCTTCCATTTTAAAAGAGAGATGTGTCTCCCTACAGGCACTGCTACCTGTTTAACTAGTCTCTGAGACTGGTTTGGAATCCACCCTTGTAAAGTGTTTTTATTCTGAGATCAGAAACCTGGTTCTGTCCAAAGAGTCCCCTAGGAATTAGGTACTGAGGTAACTAAAGTGAAAAGTGGACACAGGAGAGTCCCAGTAGCTGGGCTATTCCATTATTCCAGACTCTGTTCCAGAGAGCCCGGGGAGATGCTCCTGCAGCCTTCAGGAGGGCTGGAGCCAGAAGAGAAAAGGAGGAAGTAGCATCTCATTGCAGCCTGTGAATAGAGTCCCCAGGAGTTGTGCAAGGAAGAACACTGAGGTTCCAGAACATGGCATCAATGTCCAGGACTAGTGTGGGGAGCCCACCTCCACCTTCCCAGACCAGCTGTTCATCTGCCTTTATCTGTTTTGTGGGCTGAGAGTCTGTGGAGTATTGAAAATCACTCCCCTGGCCTGGGATTAACAGTAGAAACAGAAAGTGGTTTAATGTGAGGATTTTTTTTTTTTAAGTAAATACAGATCTGTGTGAACAAAAGGTTGTCTTGAAATTCAATCTCAGTCTGCAAAACAAGAACTCTGTTTCTGGGAAAGTGATAGGCATCCCTTCCTACCAACTTCCAGACCAAACCCCAGAAAGTAGGGGGCAGGGACAGGATTGAAAGGCTCTGCCCTTTCTACTCTGGACACATTGGGGTCTGTGGCTTTGCAGACATGGCTAGGGATCCAGACCCCCCTCCTCTCACATATATTGTGCTTGCATCTCAAAGACTATTTTGTTTACCCTTGTTTCCATAATACAAACCATCAGCTCCACTAGTATGTACTCAAAGGTCCCAAGTATTTATAGGATCAATTGTGCCATATCCTGAAAAGATCATTTCTAAGAAAAAGGCAAAGTGCTCAAACCCTGCAAAGAGCTCTCCTTTCTATTTGCCTGCCCTGAGCTTGGCCCAGGCTGTATTTGTGTTAAGGAGAGTCACAATTTACTCTAACTTTAGCTTCTGTAAATATTTGGAAAGAAACCTAATGTGCAATGCTGTGCAAAGTGACATGCAGACCAGTGGTGAATATAAGATCATCTGCAGTCAGCCCAGAGCGAAGGAAAGTGGCATTCTGATGTGGTCAACCCCGCTCTGTCAGGAACATTAGATCATGTCCCCATCATGAACTTCACGGCCTCCACTTATTCCACCCAAGCTATAAGTGACTGACTCCCAGTTCCAAGACAAGGAGACAAGGGAGATGCAGGTCAGATTATTATACCAGTCTCCTGGGAACTGGAAAAGATGAGAAATACATTGGAAGTTAAAGTACTATAGAGTGTTACAGTGTGGGTCCAGTATGGGTCCCCTCTGAACTAACTCCTTAGCAGTAAGAGCTCCTCTCAAATAAGGGGCAGCCACCCCCACCCTGAAGAGCAAGAGCCAGCACAGGAGCTCCCTACAGCTGAGGCACTAAATCTGGGAGAGTTTAGCAAGTCATTTAGAGAAAAGACCCAAGAACTCTAGGGCCAAAAGCAAATTCTAGAATAACAGCCAGACTTTGCTTGTCTCTCCAGCTCATCGGCAAAGACATAGAAGAATCCATTAAAGAAGAAACATCAGGAGACTTGCAGAAGGCCTACTTAACCCTGGGTAAAGTAAAGTTAGGAGGGTCCCTGTCCTAAGTGAGGCTTTCTGAAGCTGGCTTGGGAGACGGAGTTCTGCATGCAGGAGGATTTCAGGAATGACATATCTAAGCAGCATCTGGCTTAGGTGATGCTGTATCTGTCCGACAGGGAGCTCTGAAATGGGGATGGTCACAGTGGAACAAGGGGGCCAGTTTTCTGCACACCATATCAAACTGTAATGGGACCTTTGCAACCTTGGGGAAGTCAGCAATTTCTGCAGAGGGCACCAGATATGAGCAGTCAATAAGCAACCCCTGGAATGCATGCCTCAGCCCTGAAGAAGACATCTCATTGTGCACCAGAATGTCCACTGCAGTCCTACCAGGGTAGGGAGTCCTAAAGAGCATTTGTCAGCAGCCCTGGATCATGATCTAGTCTCAGGTGGCAGTATGGGGCTCAAATGACACATTCTCAAGAATACCTAGTTTAGTATCGAGACAAGTTTTTACACATGCCCCATGGCTGGAGGGTTTCCTTTCCATTTGATGGCCCTTCAACATTCAAAGAATGAGTTCTGTTTAGAAAGGAAGGGGAGGGAGACTAGATCTTGGCTATGCCAAGCAAACCCCAGGACCTTCTCTCCAGGTGTTGCCCAAAGACAGGAAATAGCAGAGAGATGGGCACAGGGCCGTGTCTGGCAGGCTCCCTTTTCCTTTCTGCAAGCACTGGAATGAAGGCATTGTCCATTGTCCACACTGCTGTGGCGAGGAGTCCAGGGCACCAACCCAAATGGCATGAAGAATGGAGAGACACATCCCCAGAAGAGGAAGAACCAAACAAGCAGTCCTGGAAGCTCAAAAATGTGCTCCAGTTGCCAAACTTTACTTGAGATTTTTTTTAAAAAAAAGCAATGTCAACAATTGGGGATTTTTTCCTCCATCCATGCTCATTTTGCATTCTTAGCAGGACCTCTACTGTGATGTGCAGAGGCCTAAATGTTTCTAGTATTATTCATGACCACATGGACACACAGGAGCCCTAGTGTGGACGACTGTCCTTAGGGCTTTAAGGAAGAGTCTCCTAAGCAGATGAAAGCCTTTGCAGATGGAGCCTCTATTTCAGAGGCTCTAAGGCCAGAAAAATAGCAGAGTGCTGTCAGAGGGTGGTCCTGCAACCAGTCAATGTTTTAACATCTACTCAGCACCAACCTGAGTACAGGGGTTGTGCTAGGTACAGGGATCAAAGGCAAATAAGACCCAGTTCTTGCTCTTATGGAGTTTAATATCCAAGTCAACAGATAGGGCTACAGTAAAGAAAAGAACAATTAACAATCAGAACAAGGAGAGTACAGAGGAGGAAAAAGTTAATCCCTGGGAATTTGGAGCCAGGAACTGCAGGAGTTGAGATATTCAGTAGAAAAGCAAAAATAATTAGAAAAGACCTTGAGAATAAACCACACAAATAATAGAACATGACTTCACAACTTTAGTTTCTAGAAATTCCTCACCCTGCCCCCACCTAACTCCTAGAAACACCAACTTATAGCTACAATGTAAAAAGAGGGGCTCTACCCAAACGACTCCCACCATGACCATGGGGCCCAAGGATCACCTGCCTCAGAATCTCCCGTTACAACAGTTTCCTGAGCCCCTTGGTTTCCCGTGGAGAAACTTGGAATGGAATGGAGCCCAAGAGGCCACACTTATAAGCTCCCCACAGCTCATCTTGTGTCCCCTGCTCTTTGAGTGAGGTACAGCACAGCATGAAGAGTCGGCTGTCCATCCTTCCACTCACCTGAACAACTTGACCCCATGCTTCCCTCACTATCCTGCTGAAAGACTCCTCCTGCTGCTAACAGCATAAGCTACTCCCCAGACACAGATTATCTGCACTAAAGATGGTGAAAGTTTTCCTCCCAATCTATTGGGAAGAAGGAATGTGAAGGAAGAAGACTCTGAGTAGGTTCGGAGCACCCTGACTCTGGGCACACGATGGTTCAGATCCATTCATGCTGCCTAGAGAGGAAAAGTTTGTCTGTCAATAGCTCCAATTGCCTGGGGACCACAGTGAGTCTCAAATACGCTGCTCTTCAAAGCAGCATACAGGTTTCCACCAACAACCACCCAGGGGCTTTTGGATTGTTCCTGGGGTAAAGAGACCAGACATCTGGGTTGGGCTTTTCTTTTCCACTAAAACTCTGGAGGCTGCCATGTGGCCTATAAAAGGAGACTGGCACTCCCCCGCACACACACACCCCTAGGATCTCCTTCCATAATCCTGCTCCCCCTCCCTTGCTCAGAAGCATCAGCCACACAGATACTTACTTGGAAAACAAGAGCCCCATTCCAGGCCATATTAAGCTTGCATGGTCCACATGTATGCGGAACTTATTATTCATACTAACATCAAAAAATTAATCTAGAGAAATGTTAACAACCCCAAGAGTAAATAGCTTATTGCTCTTAAGCATCAGTCATGACAGATGCATATGAGCTGGAGGAGGAAGGGAAATGGTGATTTAGCCCAGGAATAGAGAGGCACCTGTCGCCCAGCTGATGCTTAGAAACCACACTCCATTCATCTGTGGATGGAGCAAAGCTGGCAGGCAAGGGGAGGTCAGAAAGAGCACTGAGCAGCACCCTGGGAAGGCGACCAATCATCTTACCAAGCCTACATCCAGGTCACTGGCTGAGAAAGTCATGGGGAGCCTGGAGAAGGTGCAGAGACAAGGCTTCTAAAGGTGGTTGAGCACAGGAAAGCAGCCCACAGACCTGAGGGGTCAACCTGCGAGATGACAGATTTTTATTACACGAGGTTGCTGGCCAACCTGTGTTGCCCTCAGAATCCTGCTCCAGCACCAGAGATTTCCCTGAGATAGGAAGAGTAATTTCTGCAGGTGGGACCCATGCACCCCACAAGACAAACCTGAGGATGACGCCCTCCCCCAGAGGGCCTTCAGGAAGCAGGATGTGCTCTTATTCTGCTGAAGTGCTTTTGATCTGGCTAGAGTAGAAGGCCCTGGTATCTTGACCTGGGGAATCTTCCAGATCTCATTCCAAAACAATGTGACATCAGCTTCTTCCAAACTTCTGTCTCAGGGGTCAGTCAGCTCCAAGGGTTGCCAGGGGCCACTCTGGGCCACTCCGGGCCCTGGTAGGGTCTCCATGTTACCCATCAAATTGTGAACACCACCCCTATCCTTTTCTCGTCCTGCCCAGTGAGATGCGCTCAGGACCTGGATGGCTATTTGGCCGACTGTCTGTATAAGTCCATGAAAGGTGCAGGGACCGATGAGGAAACGTTAATCCGCATCTTGGTGACCAGGGATAAGGTAAGACACACTCCGCTCCAAAGAGGCAGCTGCACCTTCTCTTTTGCCCACGACTGATGTCATGGACAAGTAGTTTTCATTAAGGACCTATTTACAGGAAAAGCAAAACAGAGATGGTCCCTGCCTTCGCAGAGTTTGTAGAAGACTGTGCTCTGCTTCAATCTGTTTCTTTTTATAAAAATACAATAATGATAGTTGCTTCTATTTCTGTCTTCTGTGGCTCTGGAGAGTTCGTGGTGCTGTGTGGAGGGGAACTTACAGAAGCTACGCCCAGCTCCATTTTAAGGAAGCCAAAACAGGGACACTGAAGGAGGTGGCCCGGCCACAGAGATAATAAGCAAATGACTCCCCAGTTCCTCAGCGAGCCCTTTTTAAATTGAACACACCATAGAAGCACAATTTTCACACAAGGAACACTTTAGCCTAAGAGTGTTTCTCAACCTTTTCCTTATTGTCCCCCTAAGGATCTGGTTCACACACTTATTTTTCCTAACTGACAACCTCCCTCCACCCACCAAATGTTTTTTAAAACCACAGACAGTATTGTTGATCCATTTATGTGCCATTTGAATTATTTATTTCCAGGAATAGCAATGTACCTTTATACATTAAAAGATGAAGGGTTCTTTTTACCCTTTAAGGACCAATTTTTGTCTCTGTCAAAGAATGTACGTGTCTAAGAAAGAAAAGGGAATGAATTGCCAAAAGGTTGGGAGCAGCTGCCTAGATGCCAAGCTAACGCTTCAGGACATCAGGTCACAGATAGAAAGGGTGTGACGTCAAGGGGAAAGGACATTCTCTGCAGCGGCAGCCCTGGAGGATGAAGTAGAACAAAACAGGTGAAAACCACAGGCATCTTACCCCTAAAAACTGACAAAGGGAGAGGGAGAAGTGCCAGGCCAAATCTTGATCCACGCCTTTTGACAAATACTTAACATCTGATGCTGGTTTTAAATAAAACTTCGCAGCAAGACAGTTCTTTCGTTTTTCTTTCTATTCCTGGAATATCTCCTCCCCCTCTCTCCCTCCTCCTCCATGACTTGTCTTTTTTTCTAAGTCTGCTTCTCTCTCCTCCCTCTCTTCTTTTCAGCCTCTCTGCCGCTCTCCTGGAGTGCTCTCCTCCTCTGTCCTCTCCAGAAGACTGCCAGCTCTGGCTGTCTGGCTCTTAACAATGCATCTCCCAGCCCAAGACACCAGAGGTCTCGAGGTTCACAACAGAACAGACCCAAGGTTCTGAAAGAGCTCCAGGGGGATTGGATCCATCCAGAGTGGCTGTCCAGGGCTCCATGTTCACCCTGACCGAGACCATGGAATGTTCAGTTCCAGAATGCTCTGTCCCCTCTCGGTATTGACCAGTGTCTGGGTAGACAGTTTCTCCTGGCCAGATCCTTTAATCCCTCACAGCCACAACAGAGGCCCACTGAGCCCGCATCCTGACCCACACCTTCTTACCCCTCCCCCAGCACTAAGTAAGGAGCCAGGCAGGGGAGCAGGGGACACACTGCCTCCAACAGTCCCTCTCCTCCTGCTCAGTGTCCACTTCAAAAATCCCTCACTCCCCCACCTTCTCTCTCTCAGTTCAGCCCTCTAACTGGGGCAGGAGAATAAAGAATCAGATACCTGAGCCACAGTTTCTAGGTCCGCAGTGCAAGGCAGAGCCTAAACCAAAAAGAAAAGAAAAAATACTCCTGGTTACAGAGGGCTCTTTGTTTCTTTTATGAGACTCATTTTCTTCAATCTGGAATTATATCTTTTCTGATGCAAGTTACCTCCCTCTTAGCTGGAAGGAGTCCTTAGCAGAGTGATCTTCTTGGCTGTTTTTCTCCTGAGGTCTATCCTCATCCACAGCACCCAGGTTTTTAAGCTTTAAACTAAGTCCTACAAATGATTTGAATTCTGTTGACAGGTTTAATATCCTTGCTTATCCAGAGCATAAGGGGGAAAAAATGCTTCATCTGAGGTTTCCATTATGATAATTTCCTTTGTCTTCTACCAAGGGTTAGCAAACTCTGACCTATCACCTGAGCGGGACCTGTTTTTGAACAATCCTGATATCCAAGAATGATCCATTTCTAAATCCGAACACAAATAACTTGAAAGAAAACTCAAAAATAAAAATTCTATTTTGTAACACATAAAAACCATCCTGACGTTCAGGTTTTGGATTCCATCAATACAGTTTTAACAGCTCATACAACTACATGCAGACACCTCTGGGGAACTGAACTCAGCTTTCCTTTTCCCAACCACAAAATGGAAACGATGATAGCCCTACCCCTAAAGGCTGTTTAAGGCAAATGAGTGTGAGGGCTTAGCTGACTGTTCCTGGGGAACATACTATCAATGCTGGGGTCCCCCCTTCCATTATCTTTCCTACAGGTGAACCTACAGGGCATAAAGGCCAAGTTCCAGGAGAAATATCAGAAGTCTCTCTCTGACATGGTTCGCTCGGACACCTCTGGGGATTTCCAGAAATTGCTGCTGGCCCTCTTGCACTGAACCAAGCCAGAGCATTAGGAGGAACACAGGGAGAAACTACCTTTATCAAGAGCACATTCCGAATCAAGCTTGAAAACGGGACCATGGCACCAAAACCCCTCAAGTCCTGGTTTGTTTTCTTGGCATCTTAAGCAGCTGAAAGGCCAAAGCTATTTACATTAAGAGCAACAGCCTCAAGACACTTGGACGGGACACCTTGAATGCTGGCTTAGCCTGTATCTAGGTTACCCCCTAACCTTCCTTTAACATGGTAACTGAAAGCTTTCCAAGCACAAATAAAATCAGCAGTTGATAATAATAATAATAATAATAATAATAATAAAATATGGAAACCCTATGCATTTGTAATAAAATGTTAAGAATACCTATCACACAAGAATGTGGGAGTGTATATGGTTCCAGTAAAGACTGAATGGTTATAGTACAGGGAAGACAAATTTAACCAATTTGTTAATTTTCCTTCTGAGTGCTCAATTTCAAAGCCTCAATGTTAATTAAAGTTGTGGATTATGCCTAGTCAGTTGCTTTTCCAAACTGGCTTGAGTAGTTTGGGCTCTTGTTCTGGAAATTATAGGACTAGTGAAATGCAAACACAGTTGGGAAAATGCACAACTACATCTATTAACAATCACCAAGGACAGGGATCAAGGCTGGCAGCAAGGAAACAGTGAGCTGCCCATGTGACCTGCAAGTAGAGGTAAAGTGCCCTAATCTGCTGCCTGGTTTAATTGGGTTTTCTCATTCTGAGATGTTTGACTCATCAGTCTTCCTTCGGATCTTTGAAATACCATTACGCTAAGCAAAGTGCCAGTAAGGCCAAGGCCCATAACCTGCCTCTCAAGTTCTGCACCAATAGAATCTCTGTTGCAAGGTGTTGGTCTCATAGTCACATGGAGTTAAACATAGAGGGACCTGTCAAGAGAACCTGGGCACTTTGGTCTCATAATTACAGTTACACTCATTGGATAAGTATTTGTGCCTGGCACTGCTCAGTAGCATAATTTTATACATAGTCCTTCCCACAACTCTATGAAGTTAATATCACTCCCATTTATCAGTTGAGGAAACAGAGACATTAAGAACCCTGGCTCAATGCATTTGTACACAATAGAATTAAGATTTGAGCCGGGCACAGTGGCACAAGACTGCAACCCCAGCAATTCGGGAGGCTGAGACAGGAGGATCGCAAGTTCAAAGCCAGTCTCAGAAAAAGTGAGGCACTAAGCAATTCAGTCCTGTCTCTTAATAAAATACAAAATAGGGCTGAGGATGTGGCTCAGTGGTCGAGTGCCCCTGAATTTAATCCCCTATACCCCCCAAAAGAGATTTCAATCTCAGATTGATTGACTTGAAAAATCACACTATTAACCAAGTGGTTACTTTTTTTGGAAAAGTAATTGAAGCACAAGGTAATAGGTATGTATTCATTCATCTGCTTAATTCCCTGCTATCTGCCAATCACTGGGGACACAAAGGTAAGTACAACCCAGTGTACACCTTGGGCAATTCATTCTCAAGACAGTAAGGGAGACAGATATCTCCATTGGTCCACACAATGCTCCATGTGCTTTAAGAAGAATAGAAGAAAGGGCTTTACCCATAAGCACACAGCTCTGCATGGAGGATCTGGAGAATGTTTCACACAGACACATTTGTGTTGGGTTTTGAAAAATGCACAGAAGCTCTTCAGAGAAATAAAGGAAGAAAGTCACGAGCAAAGTCTCCAAAGCATGAGTAGGGCAGGATATGCTCAGGAACAAATGGACTCCATTCTTCTGGAGCATATATGTAGTGAAAGAAGGGATGGACTGGGGTGGGGGGCCCTGCAAGAAGCCTGCTGAAGACATAATTGGATCCCATCAGCAATGGTTCTACCTGCCAAGCATGGGCTGGGTCTTTTGGACAGTGGCAATCAGCAGAGAAGTCTAAGAAAATGAGGATGGTGATCAGATCCGGGCCTGGGAAATCACTGCAGTGGTGTGATTAACAGAAAAGCAAATTCACCCAAACAGTCTAAGAACAGATGTCATATCATGGTGTGTCATTTTAGCAGCTATGAAACAGTGACTGAGAAATTAAGAGGTTCTGTTCATGTTGGTGTCTTATCTACCCAATGGTCATTGGAACCACTCTAAGCTTTTACTCACAAAAGGCTGTTTTTTTTAGAGCCAAGTTCAGTGACAAAACATACTCTCATTCATTTATTGCCAAAGGTGATCTTTACTTTTAAAAACAAGAACAAAGAACCCCATTCTTAGGATCTGAGCTCATGGTAAAAACAGAAAAGCAAGCCAATGGAAAGAGATTTGTTAAAAACAGACACAATTTGAGATTGTTGGAGGCCATGACACAGGCAGAAGAGAAACGGGGTTTCATGGGGAAGAAATGGGCCAAGTGAGACTGTGCAGCAAGGTCATTTGCTCAAGGTTACCCAAGGAAAGGGTTAGGTCTAGAATTCAGCTCTGTTTCTGACCCTAGGGCCTGTGCTACCCACAGTATGTTTTAGGGTCACAATGACCTCTCATATAGGTTGTCTACTGCACAAGACTGCCTGGTTGAGGAGACATTTGGGGCCTGAAATTCAGCCCTAGCTCTCTCCCACGGAGTCTGCAGGGCCGCAGTTTCCTAGAGAGGGCGCCTTCTGCTAATCTGCACATAGCTGCCCTCTGGGCTGGTACCAACTGGCTGGCGTTGCACACAACCTGTTTTACCTAGGAGAGGCGGCTGAGAGCCTCTTCCTCCAACAAGATGCCTGTGACCAGTTTCTTCTACAAATTTTAGGTTCTGACTCTCTAGGCAACCCATAATACCATACAGTCAGTCTTTGTTAATCATTCTTAGGAGTGTTGAGAAGTGAAGATTAAGAAGGAAAAGTATGATTAGCTAACAAATTCTTAGTCCTGGTTTTAGTTTATTGATTTAAAACGCTATGTTTCTTTTCTTGCCTCAGCTTTACATGCAACCCACTTTTTTTTTTAAATAGCTGTATGGAGTTTAATTGACATATATCAACCTGAATATATCTAAGGTATATACTTTTATCTTTTGACACGTGCACATCCATGGAAACCAGCACCACAATCAAAAAAATTAACATGTCAATTACTATTAAGTGTACCCTACTTCCCTTTTAAATTCCTCCTTTCTGCTCTTCCTCACCATCTTTTATTTAACAAATTTGATCTTTTTTAAAAAATTTTAATTGATTTTTTAAAAATAAATAATAGCGGAATGCATTACAATTCTTATTACACTTATACAGCACAATTTTTCATATCTCTGGTTGTATTTTTTTTAATTTTTAATTGATTTTTAAAAAACAAATTTGATCTTATTGAGCAAAATGAGAGGACAAATATCAAAATTATATAAATCCTTGAATTACCATAAAGAGAATACTTGTGTCTGCTGCTTATATCAAGAAACAGAAAACAATACTATCCCAACAACCTCTTTATACTGTCTTCCTCTTAGTATCCCTTCCATTCTCCTTAGTGGAAACTACAATCTTTTATTTCAACCAGTACTGTTAAAGTATTATTTTTTTCATTAGGTCCAAATGAATCCTAATGTTATCTATAACTAAAAATAAACAATTAAAAAATGTATTATTTTAAGACAAAATAAGCAGACAATAAAGCAGAAGTTATGAAAGGGGGAAAAAAAGGAAAAGTAGATGCAAATAATGGTCCAGAAGATGACATGGGGGTTTTGCCACACAAAGATGATCATTGGTGGGGAAGCCCAAGGAGGCAGAGCATGACAAGGCTCCCACTGGACACCACTCTGATTGCAGTTGGGTGTGACAGCCCCTGTGAGATGCCCCCATCCTCACCCGGCCCAGGAGCAGCCTGGCTCCTACAGCAGCAACAGATTAATGCACAGGACCACCCCCCACCCCCTGCCCCAGGCCATAGACTGTGTTCCAAACCACACACAGCCAGAAGAGTGCCTCAGATAAGCCCCAGAAACTAGATAAGCTGAGAAATTCAGGCACCAGAAAACCCAGAAATGGACTTCAGCTCTCTGTGTCCACAACTGAGAGCTCACAGGTTGAGTACAGAGTGACGTCAGCGTGGCCAGCGTCACCACCATCTCTCTAACAACCAGGGCACAGGGTACAGACCAGGATGAAGGGAGACATGAGGTCAGGAGAAAGGGAAGACATGGTCTGGAGAGGGTGAGATTTTAGATTTATAGAAAAGTTGCAATCCTCTTAGAACTTGTAAATACCCCACTCCCAGTTCCCCATATCACTCACATTAGTATGGGGCATTTATCCTAATGGACAAATTAGCATTGGCACATGATGATTGTGTCCTATTTCTGTCCCAGGTTCCAACCAGGACACCACTTCACATTCAATCACTGTGTCTCTCTAGACTCCTCTTAGCCATGACCATTGCTCAGATTTTTTTTTTTTTTTTTTTTTTTTTTTTTTTTTGGTGATCTTGGCAGTTTTGAGCAGTACCAGTCAGGTATTTTGTAGAAGGTCCTATCAGTTTTGGTCTTTCCGTTGTTTTCCTCAGAGTTAAGGCTTTGAGGAAGGAGGATCCCGGAGCCAAAATGCCATTCCCAGGACATCATATCCAGGGTGCATGCTGTTAAGATGACATTCCTTTGTTGACTCACCTTGGATCACCTGGGCCAGGTGGTGTTTGTCAGGGCGTCCTACTATGACAACACCACCACTTTATTGTTCTGTTGTTGTTCCTCTTTTCTATGCTGTACTCATTGGAAGAAAGACCTCCTGTGCACCCACACCTGAGGGGTGGGGAGGTACCTCCATTTTCTTGAATGGGGAGTATCTATATAAATTATTTGGGATTTACACAGCCTTTTGGAGAGAATATCACAATGCCATGTGAACCAGAGCCAGACATGGAGCCACAGGACCTGTTTGCCCAGCTGGATTTTGGTCTTGCTTTGGTCCTATCCTTTCTTCCTATGCCCCTAATTTTGTGAATGGAAATGTTTACTCTGACCCATTATACATTGGATACTTGTAAAATGCTTTTAATTTAACAGGAGCTCACAATGCGAGATTGCCTTGAACCTCAGAGAAGACTGCACTTGAACTTTGAGCAATCTCAGAACTGTTGGGGCTCTGGGGACTTTTGGGAATGGACTAAATATATTTTGCATTGTCAGATAAGTGTGAGCTCTGGGAGGCCAGGGGCAGAATGTTATGGTTTAGATGTGGTGCCTCCCCAAAATTCATGTGTGAGACAACGCAAGAAGGAGAAACGATTGGGTTAGAGCCTTAGCCTAATCAGTTAATTAATCCCTGATAGTATTAACTGAAGTGGTAGGGTGTGGCTGGAGGAGATGGGAATTGGGGTGTGGCTTTGGGGTATATATTTGGATC